ATATATGTATATTTGAAAAATATATCAAAAATGCATGTGGGTACTCAAATAAAAGCTCTTGATAAGTATAACATCGGAATGAGCTTATATCTTTAAAAACGTCAATATTTAAGAAAGTTCAGAGGATTTTAACAAAAGTCATTATTTAATAATGCAAAATTTTATTTATTTATAGTTCACAAGTCACATAGTGACTGCAAGGTTGTTAGTTTATTTAATTACTTTATTTAAAGAAGAAATGTCTCAATGTTTAAATAAAAATTTCAGCTCCAAGAACTCTTTCTAATTGTTAAATTTAATTCTAAAAATTTATAAATTTTTCAGGAATGGCTTATGCCATGCTAGGAAATGTACCTCCAGTTGTTGGAATGTACATGGCATTTTTTCCAGTTTTAGTTTACATGATTTTTGGAACATCTCGACACAATTCAATGGGTAATTTTTTTTAATTAAATAATAAACCATTAAATTAAATTTTAATTATTTCTTCTTTATTTCAGGAACATTTGCAGTTGTTTGCATGATGACAGGAAAAGTTGTGTTAACTTACAGTAACATTAACCAAGATAATTTAAAAAAAAATACAAATTCATCATTACTAATAAATATCCAAGAATCGAATACTCCTCAGTATTCCCCTCTAGAAGTAGCGACTGTTGTAACATTCGGAGTCGCGATAATCCAAGTATTTTTTTTATTCTCCCACCAATCAAATAACAAATTACAATAACCATTAAAATCTTCTAGTTAATAATGTATGTATTGCGCCTCGGATTGATATCATCGTTATTATCTGACGCGCTTGTTAGCGGATTTACAACAGGAGCTGCTGTTCACGTGTTTACCTCGCAAATAAAAGATCTATTGGGACTGGAGCTCGTAAAACGTCGTGGAATTCTTAAAGTTGTATACGTAAGTGATAATAATCATTAATAATGATAAATGTATTAAGGATTAGTCTTGCTACAATAATTATTTCCTTAAATATATATCTTGCGTATTTCTTCAGTCACACTTGACGGTAATTGCTTTCGCGGTATTTATTTTTATCCGAGAACAACTTGTGACGTTTTAAACCAGTCAGACTGATAATTTCATACTATTAATTTTAAAAAATAATAATAATGATTTTATTAGATTGTAGTTATAGACATAAAATTATATTTTTATTATTTCTCCTTGAAGAAATGCTTACCTTTGATCGATAATATTTATTTTTCTTCTTTCTTAAATGATTAATTAATTAATTTATTCATTTTTTTTTTTTATTACAGACTTATTATGATGTTTTTAATTCATTAGATAATATAAATGTCACTGCAACTATAATTTCTGGTATTACAATATTAGCAATTATTTTTAATAATGAAGTTTTAAAAGTAAGTATTATTTTTTTTTTTTAATTTGAGTTTTTTTGAGAAAAATTAAAAAAAAAATCAGCAATATTATAAAAAAAAATTAATTTGTTTAAATCAATAGATTATGACAAAAAATTAAAAAAAAAATTTTCATTTGTTAAAAACTTCAAAAACTATAAGTGCAATTTTTTAGTTATAATTTAATAAATTAAGCAAAATAAAAAAATCAAAAATGTCGGCTAACTTTAGTATTATAAATTAGCAGACGTCTAAAAATTTTTGATTTTTTTTATTAATTAAATTACAACTAAAAAGATATTTATAAAAAATTGTTACTTATAGTTTTTAAGTTTTTTACATGTGAATTTTTTTTTTAATTAAAATTTTTTCAATAAAAAATTTTGAAATGTCGGCTAACTTCATTTTTATTCGATTTATAATAAGTAATGATTAACTGAAAAAAATTACTATTTCAAACAGTAAACTCGGGATTTTAACAATCACTTTATAATATTTATATCACTTTATAATAGTTTATATTAATTTAGTTTTTCCGTATAATTTTTTACTTAAAATTATTATTTATTTAAAATTGTTTTTTTTTTTTTAATTAAAAAAAAATTTTATTTTTTCAGTGAAGAAATAAAATTATTTAAAAATTAATTTCTTTTCACAAAAATGCGGATTTTTTTCAAAAGGATTTTTTTCTATGTTTAATAATAATTAAAAAAATATTAATAAATTTATTTTGCAGCCTCGTGTAAGTAAACGATGTACATTTCCAATCCCGATTGAAATGATGGCAGTAATAATAGGAACAGTAGTGTCAACTAAAATGAACCTAAATGAAGTATATAAAGTCATCACTGTAGGCCATATTCCTGTCGGGTACTAAAATTTAACTATTTCTTCTTCTATATTTAAAACTATAATTACAAATTTAAAAGCTAATAATAATAATGAAGAAAACAGACTTCCAGTTCCGTCACTGCCTCAAATCTCCTTACTTCCATCGATAATGATTGATTGTTTTGTGATAACAATGGTGTCATACTCGATATCGATGTCAATGGCGCTAATATTTGCTCAAAAAATGAACTACCAAGTGGACGCTAATCAGGAATTAATGGCGCAAGGCTTGGGCAATCTTGTTGGGTCTTTTTTTTCGTGTATGCCGTTCACTGCTTCGCTGTCACGATCTCTAGTCCAGACTGCTGTTGGTGGAAAAACCCAGCTTGCTAGTTTAGTATCATGTTTTTTACTTTTATTCGTACTGCTTTGGATTGGCCCACTTTTGGAGCCTCTACCAAGGGTGAGTATGCTAATAAATTAAAGAAAATTAATTAATTAAGAAAAAAATTAATTGTTACTTATTATTTGCAGTGCGTTTTGGCGAGTATTATCGTAGTCGCATTGAAGGGTATGTTCTTGCAAGTAAAAGACTTAATAAAATTTTTCAAACTCTCAGCAAGCGACGCTGCTGTATGGATAGCTACGTTTTTAACAGTAATTATTCTTGATGTTGAATATGGGTTACTTGTCGGTGCTATTTTTTGTCTTCTTAAATTGATAATGCTGTCGATGAAACCGTACACTTGTAAATTGGCTGTTGTACCTGGAACGGAACTTTATTTGGACACCAATAGGTATCACAAGGTAGTTAATTTTTTTTATTTCTTCTTTAAGTTTTTTGTTTCTTCTTTAACGTTTTATTTCTTCTTTTTTTTTTTTAACTATTTGTTCCTTCTTTATTTTTTTATTTCTTCTTTGCTAACATTGTATTTCTTCTTTACTAACTTTTTATATATTCTTTAAATTTTTATTTCTTCTTTAACGTTGTATTGCTTCTTTTTTGACTATTTAGTTCTTCTTTATTTTTATTTCATGAATTTCTTTGTTTCTTCTTCGTTAACATTATATTTCTTCTTTAATAACTTTTTATATCTTCTTTAATATTCTATTTCTTCTTAAACGTTATATTTTCTTCTTTTTTAACTATTTGTTTCTTCTTTAATTTTTTTTGTTTCTTCGTCGTTAACATTATATTTCTTCTTTATTAACTTTTTATGCCTTCTTTAATTTTTTTTTTCTTCTTTAACGTTGTATTGCTTCTTTTTTTACTTTTTATTTCTTCTTTTTTTCATTTCTTTTTTAACGCTAGGTTTCTTCTTTTTTAAATTTTTATTTCTTCTTCATTAATATTAAATTTCTTCTTTATTAACTTTTGATATCTCCTTTAATTATTTATTTTTTCTTTAATGTTGTATTGCTTCTTTTTTGACTATTTTTTTTCTTTATCTTTATTTCTTTTTTTTTTTTTTATTTATTTGAAGTCGCTTCATTTCTTCTTCTTTAACGTTATATTTCTTCTTTATTAAATTTTTATACCTTATTTTTTATTTCTTTTTAACGTCATATTTCTTCTTTAATTTTTTTATATTTTCGTCAATTTTTAATTTTTTATTTCTTCTTTTTTAATTATTAATTTTTTCTTTATTTATTTTATCTTTATTTACTTTATCTATCTCTTAATTTTTTATTTCTTCTTTAATTTTTTTAGACAGTAGAAATTCCAGGTGTCCAAATGTTCCATTACTGCGGCGGCCTAAATTTCGCAACAAAGTTGCACTTTAAAAGGCAATTAGTTCAAGCTGCTGGTGTAGATCCATTAAAAAAATCAAGTAATAACTACAAATCTGAAAGTAAAGAAGTAATACCAGAGGATACCAAAAGTGTTAGTATTTATTTTCTCTATAAGCACACATAACAATTTAAATCAAACTATTTTTAAATTATTTTATGATCTGCTCTCATTATTACTCTCCAAATGATTACAGTTGCAGGTACTGATAATAGATTTTTCAGCGCTAATTCATATTGACCCAGCTGGTGTAACGACAGTACGTGGTATAATTGAAGATTATATAAAGATTGGAGTTTATGTTTACCTTGCTGGTTGCTCAGGTATAAATCTCGATGTAGTTTACTATTACTTACAGCATTTATCGATGATTACTTGGAATTTACAATCGTTTTATCTTCCGGTTCGATGGATTTATTCCACTTATTTATTGATATAACACCGGAAATATTTTCTCTAAAAAAAAATAAAAAGAAGACTATAATAATATTTTTATTTCACAGGACCTGTTTTTGAAATGATTAGAAAATGTAATTCAGTTGAAAAGGTCACTAATGTATTTATGATATTTCCAACTGTGAATGATGCTGTTAATTACGCGCGAAATGAAAATGTCATTTCTTCACCATCAATATCAACATGGCCGACGTATCAACAAATTTGTGATCAAAATAGTAATATAAGTCGATTATAATTTAAATTATTTTTGTAAATAATTAATTATCAATTATATTTATAAATTTATAAAATTCAAAGAAGAAATAGATTTTTATTTATAAATTTATATATTTAAAATATTTAAAGAAGAAATAAATTGTTATTTATAATTTTATAAATTTAAAGAAGAAATAAATTGTTATTTATAAATTTAAAAAATTTAAAGAAGAAATAGATTTTTATTTATTGCTTAAGATTAAAGTGTAAATAATTTGTGTATGTATTATAATTTAATTAAACATTCCAAATATATTAATAAAAAAAATAATGTTTTTTTATTGAAAAAAATTATTACAAACAATTAAAAAAAAATTTAACATGTAGAAAATTTGAAAAACTGTAAATGCAATTTTTAAAAAATATTTTTTAGTTCTAATTTAATAAATGAAGCCAAATCAAAAAATTAAAAATTTCGGCTAACTTTATTATTATATGATTTTAATGAAGAAATAAATAATGATTAATTATTTATATTACTATTGTTGAATTTTTCATTGTATTGGCAAGCTATCAGAATAGTATTTTATAATTTATCGCTTTAAATTCTCGACGATATTTCTACTGAAATCATCATATATTCTTCTCACTAAAAAAGAAGAAATTTACTGATATAAATAAATTTTTTTTTTAAATTCTAAAAACTTATTTTTTAAATTTTAAAATAAAAAAATTAATTTTTAAATTAATAATACCAAAATGGCGAAACGCGCGCTAGATATTGATTGAACTCGCGCATGCGCAGTTGTAAAATAAAGTAATGTATGTATGATGTGTATTATTTTGATGACTTACGTCTGTAATATTTATTCGTTTGCGGTGTAATTAGAGAATTTTATATTTATAATTATGGCTGGATTAATTCAATCGTTTAAATCTATTCAAACGCACATGGTGAGTCTAATAAAAAAAATAATAATTTTTTAACAAGTGATATTTTTATTCACCTGTCAATAAATTAAAAAATTAATAAAATATTCCTTTTAAGGTTAAACATTTGCCACGTAAACATTATTTTTAACAAACATATTTTTTATTAATTAACTATTTGCAATTTTATTAAACAATTAGCAAATATTGAATGTATTATTGTCATTATTTTTTTTTTTAGGACTATGATGGTCAAGCAAGAGCTGAAAAATTATCAAGGATTATTGTCACTCTTTTTGGAGTAAGTATAAAAATATTTAGAATAAATAAAAGTAATTAAAATATTAAATTTTATTGTAAAAAATAATGAAAATTAAATTAGCCGACATTTGAAAATTTTTATAATTATTTTTATTTAAAAAATTGTTATAATAAAATTAAAAGAAAAAATTGCACGTGTAGAAAATTTGAAAAATTATACATGCAATTTTTTTAAATTCTTTTTTTACTTGCAATTTAATTGTTGAAAAAAAAAAAGAAAAATTTTTAAACGTCGGCTAACTCTAGTATAAAAAAAAATTATGAAAAAAATTTTATAAAAAAATTCCACATGTGAAAATTATAAAAATAATTAATGAAAATTTTTTATTGTAATTAATTTGTTGTAAATATTAAAAAAAATTGACGGCTGTCAGCTAATTTCAGTATCAATTAATTTTAATAATAATAATAATTATTATTATTGATTAATAATTAAACAGGCAGTTGGTTTGATCTGGGGCTACGCAATCCAAGAATTTTCCCAAGCACTCTACATTCTTGCTGCTGGATGTTTAATGGCTCTTATAATTACCGTACCGCCATGGCCGATGTACAGAAGAAAACCTCTCGATTGGCAGAAACCACAAGCAACTGACGCTCCGCCTAAAAATAAAAAGAAGAAATAATTATCACAGTTATAAATAAATAAATAAAATATGCATTTATTATTAATAAAATAAAATAATTTTCATTAAATTAAAACAGACTTATTAATTATTTATAATAAAATAATGGATTTAAATATTGCGTCGATTTACTTACAAGTACTATTGGATTCATTCCAACTACTTTCATCGTCGATTACATTCTTTATTTTCACTTGTCAAAGAACATTCGAAGTATTTTCTTTAAAAAGAGTAAAAAAATATCATCAAACGAGAATAATAAAAAATTTCAAAGCACGCGCAACATTTAACTTTCACAATTAAATTATCTTTTTAGTATTTTACTTTTTTTGGTTTTATATGTACATACATAACATGAAAAAAAAAATATTTTAATTTTACAATTAAAATTTTTTATTTAAATAATTTTTTATCAATTTTTTAGATAATTATTTATAAGTTTTTATAAATAAAGATTTCAATATTTTTACATTCAAAAAATTAGAGTAGTATTTTACTCTTTATTTTAAGTTTAATTTTTATTTTAGGAGTAAAAATTATTGTTAGAATTTTTTTTGAACAATTTTGTAATTTTTTTCTTATTATTAATCAAAAATAGAATAATTAAAAGAGAAAAAGAAAATTTTTAAATAAAAAAATTTTCAAATTTGATTTTTTGAACCTGCTTGTTTTTACAGAGAATTTATAATAAAAAATGTCGTGAAAGGAAAGAAGAAATTTATATTTTATATAAATTTATATTTGATAAAATTTATAATTAATTTATTTTATTTGATAAAATTTATGTTTTATTTTTTTTTATGTTTTTAATATATATATTTTTTTGAAAAGTACATAAAAAAAACGATCAATTAATAAAAAAAATTGAATTTCACAATTTTCTAAAAAATTTATAATTTTTTATGAAAATTTGTTAAAATTGTGATAATCATTTTTTTTTTAATTTATATTTTTAAAAATATTATTATATTTAAAAAAATATAAAATCAAATAGAAATTTGATTAAAAAAAAAATGAAAATTAAAATTGTAAATAATTACCATAATTTTAAACAAAATAAATTTTCATAAAAGAAGAAAAGAAGAAGGGATGATAGAATGAATTGTGCAATTGTTAATTAATGCAGGATGATTCCTGTAAGTCGTGCAATCGACGCGGTTCGGTAACCCGTTAGAGGTATATAATGCAACATAAGTGTATATAACTATAAAAAAATACAAATAACATAAAATAAACACATGAAAGGATTATGAAACACTTTCTCTGTGTATGATATTTGCACTACTTCCTACACGGTATATAAATGTGCCCGAAAAAAAATTTGATATCAAAAAATAAACGTCATTTAAAAATATAAAAACCGGTAGTATTATATTTATTTCAAACTGGAATTATTGCATTAATTTATGCGGTAAGTTATTGCGAGAAAATTTGTCAAAAATGTAAAAGTTACATTCTGTAACTTTTAGAAAAAGAAGAAAAAAAAATTAATTCTACAAGATTAGCTTCAATATAAAATAACTTCAGCTGATTAATTTTAATGTCCTATTATTTATCAACAATGTATGCTCACATAAATATAGTCTTCGCCACGTGGTGGTGAATTAATAACAAATGCTTTAAAAAAGAAAGGCGTGTGTATACATGTCTTCGTTATTAATACGTAACGCATGGACTATTTCCTTACTTTTACGTAATTATCAAATAGGGGGCCGATAGGTGACGGATCTCCTACCCTACTCGAGCACATACGACTTACTGCAGACTACCCCCCCATATGAAAGCCTTTTGGTACCAACAACAGCTTTATAAACCCAATGCTTACCGTTTGCCAACCAGAGCTCAATCTGCAATCGTGCATTATCAATTTTAAGTATAAACATGTACTTAAATACTTTTGCTGTGAGTTTTTTACTCTTTTTTATTTTTTTTTTTATTTAATTTTGTAGAAGAAGAAATTTTTTTTGGTTGAGTTATATTCTTCTTTCCTCAAATTGTGAAGTGTAAAAATAAGTGAATTGTGTTGTTATAAATTTAAATTAGAAGTTTATATTATTGAAGAAGAAATATTAGTTTTTATTTTATTTAAAAACATTTTTTTTTTTTATTAAAGAAGAAATATAAGTTTTTATTTTGTTTGAAAAATTTTTTTTTATTGAGGAAGAAATATTAGTTTGTATTTTGTTTAAAAATTTTTTTTTTTTTTTAAGAAGAAATATTAGTTTTTATTTTTTTTGAAATTTTTTTTTTAATGAAGAATATAAATTAATTTATATTTGTTTCAGGTGATCTTGTTGGGTGTCGTAGCTGTTAGTTTTGCAGCTCCAGGCTACGATCATCAGTAAGGATTTAAGAATTATTGAAGCAGGCTTTTATTAATTGAGAAATGTTTTCTTCTTTTTTAATGTTTATTTCTAATACTTTATTGTGGCTGACTAAAAATGTAGTGATATTTTTTAGATTGGTTAAAATTTTTATTTAGGAAAAAAAATTACACTAAATTGATAACAAAATTTAAACAAAGAAGAAATTTGAACAGTAAGATTAAGAAAAAAAGGTTAGATTGCTTGAAGAAATAAAATGGAGCAATATTGAAAAGAATCTTGTCTAACAATTTTGAATTATAAAAATTTTTAAGAAGAAATGATTTCTATTTAAAAAAATTTTTTCTATTAACAAAAGCTCTTTATATTAAATTTCTTCTTTTTGATTTTTAATTTATATTTTCTATTTAATAATTACCAAAGAAGAAAACATTTTCTATTAACAAAAACTCTTTATATTAAATTTCTTCTTTTTGATTTTTAATTGATATTTTTTTCTTTAATTATTACTAAAGAAGAAATAATTTATAAGAAGAAAACATTTTCTATTAACAAAAGCTCTTTACATCTTTATGACAAATTTCTTCTTTTTTATTTTTAATTTACATTTTTTATTTAATAATTATCAAAGAAGAAAACATTTTCTATTAACAATAAATCTTCATATTAAATTTCTTCTTTTTAATTTATAATTAATATTTTTTATTTAATAATTACCAAAGAAGAAATAATTTATAAGAAGAAAACATTTTCTATTAACAAAAATTCTTTATATTAAATTTCTTCGTTTTAATTTTTAATTTATATGTTTTAACTTAATAATGATTGATAAACCATCTTATTGTTCCACAGCAAGCATGTAGTGATCCATGTGCCCTACAAAGTACACACAGTCCATCACCATCACGTGAAAAAGGTCCCTTACCCAGTGCACCACGTAGAAAAGGTCCACGTCCCAGTTCACCATGTTGAAAAAGTACATGTTCCAGTACCCTACCCAGTGGTGAAGAAAGAGTACGTGCCAGTCATCGAGAAGGTTCACGTTCCTGTCCACATCCCAGAGCACCATGAGCATCATGAGCATCATGAGCACCACATTCCCGAGCACCACGAAGAATCTAAATGGTCCTTCGACGACGATAAGAAAGGATGGTGGGATTAAATAAGTAAGTCTTCATAAAAATTTGATTAACTTTATTTTTTTTTAACAATTTATTCATTTTTTTCTTACAGGTAATTTTCAATAGATCATTATTCTTCAGCAAATAGTTCATGAGTATTCTTAACAAATCAGTGAAACGGAACTTTGGATATCCAAGGAAGAAATAAGAAATTTTAGTTACAATATAGAGTAATTAAGATTTTTATACCAAATGTACATAACTTTATTCTCATGAATATGTATTACTATTCGTTACCTGAATGTTGTAATTTTTATAAAAATTTTAAAGATAATAAATGATGTTAAGAAAAAAAATTAAGATTTCACTTAAATACTAATCAACAGTTAAATAACAATATATTAAACTTTCATTGGCTTAATTAATTAATATTATTATTTAATTATTTATCACTACCATGCATCATCAAAGTATTTTTTTCCTTCTTCATGTTCTTCATGTACTTCATGAATGTGAGGTTCTTCATGGTGCTCTTTCTTCACAGGTACATAAATTTTTTTAACCAATGTGTGATGGTGTGTGTGGATGTGTTTGGGTACGTGTATCTTAATATGAACACTGGAATAAAATAATAATTAATCATTTTAATTGTGACACTGAAAATAGAAGACATTTTTTTTTATTATTATTTTTATTATTAAAAATCAATAAAAAAAAATTTTTTTTCTAAAAATTTGCACTCATTTTTTTCTAATTTTTAAATATGGAATTTTATTGAAATTATTAAAATTTTTTCATAATTTTTTATTAAATTTTTATTAAAAATAGATTAAAATTAATTGAAAAAAACTTACTGATGATGATCATCATCCGGAATTGGTAATGAAGAAACAGTAGCAATTATTATTATGAAGAAAAAAAGCTGTAATAAAATCAACTATTAAAAAAAAACTCATTTTTGTTATTAAAATTTATATTTGTTTTAGATACATACGTGAAGCAAGAAGATTTTCATATTTTCTGGTCAAACTTATCGCACGGGCACTCAATGAAGACTATAACTAATCTCACTTAGACTGGCTTATAAATATAAGGATAATGCCGGTAGTAAAATGTATAGACAACACGAAATTTCCGGGTTTAAATAATATAATAATATTACAATCCCTCCTCTAAATCACCATCTTCCTGATCTTGAGGAAAAATCATACTCTCACTTATTTATTGTACAAACAGTGCAATAGCAATTTTAGATTTTATTCAATATTAGATTATTGTAGACATAAATCTATAGTTTGTTTGTATTAACACTCGTTAATGCCGTGCATACACAAGCGTGTATTTTTATTGCAAGGGAAAGTTTAAGATTCTTTTTGTTTATTTATTTAAATAAGCTAATAAATAAATAAGTATAAGTAACACTATCAATTAAAAAAATTGTAGCAAGTCATTGACACCTTGTTTATTTTCAGTCTCTTATTCTGTCGTCAATTATTGCTATTTTATTTTCTTCTTTTAAATTCTTAAATAAATTGCATTTATCATTGATATTATTACTATTATTATAATTGTAATTAATACATTTCATTTATACTGATTAATTAATTAATTAATTAATCATTACCGGAAGCGGTGGATCAGAGACCAAGGCTACTTTCACGAATAATACTAAGTATAATATATATATATATACATACATACATACATATATGCTTTCATCATCAGAGAAGACTATATATTTCATTTATGCACTGTAATGCTTCAGTGAAATTAAAAATTACTAGAACACCTTATCATTATTATTATTATTAATGTTACATTTCTTTTTCTGTCGAGAACAAAGCATTATGCGTACTATATTGAGATTATACTTGCATCTTATTGTCATGTTGTCGAATATCGCTCTGTGCGCGTTTTCAGCGCCACGGTACGTTTGAACTACAGGGGGCTATTGTAATATATTTTATTATGTATTGAGCGTGTTCAGCCGAACTAAGTCCTGAGTAAACTTAGTAAGATATGTATAGTATAGTAGATAGATATATGTATAGCAGGGAATGCTTTGACTATACTTAGGCTAACTAAGTTTACTCAGGACTTAGTTCGGCTGAACACGCTCATTGAATGGCTGTTAGTAATAATAGTATTAAATGATAAATAAAAGAATACTTTATTAATTAAAGGGAGTATTTATAATAAATATTTGTTACCGTAAAGTGTTCTTGTGCACTAAAAAATAAAATGTAAGTGTAGTTAATACCGAAAAAGTAGATGAAAATTAATTTAGCATATATTTAATAATTTTAAAAATTTTTCTAATAAATAAATTACTGGATAAAAAAATTGAGAAAATTTAATAAATTAAAAATGCAATTTAAAAAAAAAAATTTTTTTGTTAAATAAAATTAAAAAATGGTCAAATGACGGCTAAACTTTAATATCATAAAAAGTAGCATAGTAGTTAGCACATATAAAGATTGGTTAACGTCAGATTGAAATTAAATAAAAATTAAAGTGCTGATTGTTTTTGAGTACAAAAAAATAGATTATGTTTGCTAACTAAAATTTACATATTAAAATTCAATAATAAAGCTGGGAAAACTTGTTCATTGATTAAATTTATCATTTTTAATTTTATTTTTTTCTTTGATTTATTTTCCAACTTACTGTTGGAAATTTATAAAAATAACAAGCACATTTTCTACTTGTATTCTTACAACTTACAATATAACAACTTTTGTGACTCATTTTATGTATTTCCTTTTAAATAAATTTTTCAATAATAATTTATTTGTATATTTAGCTAACTCGAAACATAAAAACAGCCTCCCCTTAGTATCGGATATAGCTACTCGTGGCGCTGACGGAAAATAAGTTTTTCCCCCACCATGGCTTCGCACTGAGCGAATAACCTTTCAGCAATGAAATTCTTAAGATCGCCGCTACTTTAGTAAGCGCTCACATCGCCGTGCCATTTTAGATTTTAGAAGTCGTACGAAACTATTAACTGCCATTTTATTTTTGTCCTTGGTTGAGTCACTGTAGTCTAATTTCATCCATTTTCTGTGCAGCAACATTAACTATTTCAATATTAGATTTGATATTTTTTATAAAAACATTTATTAATTTTTTATTAGTTGAAAAATGTCCTATTTGAAGCGTAACTGTACTCATCTCGAAGGCCAATACATTTTTCCCGAAGAATGGAAAAAATACAGAGTTACGAAACCTCCTACTAGATATGTGGTGAGTACTAACCTAATAAATAAATTACTATTTTATTAATATATTGGTGATCGAATTTTCTAATTTTGCCATTCTACAGGAGGACAATGCAAACAGTTTGGAATTAAAACCGTTGATGGTGCCATATGGGATACTGGATGAATTGTTCAAATGGCATGACATGGTGAATTCTGTTTACGACAAGTATTGTGAACAAGAGAGATCCGGTCTGAGTTTTTTCAATTCACCAATTATTTTATGTTATCATTTAACTGAAATTTATTCTATAAAATTTTTTTAATTTTTTTTAGGCTGTGAAATGACGGAAGTAGAAGCCACTGAATCAGCAGACAGCAAACAACATACGCAATCTGCTGATAGTGGTTCCGAGGTTATAGCAACTCCTACACTGCCAATGATCACACGGCACAATGTTCCATATCAGAAATGGCCCAGCCACCTTCCTGATCAGGTAATCACAAATCTGAATGTCGTACTATGCCAAAATATCCCTCGTCTAAACTGGTAACTGAAGCAACAAAAATTGTAACTCCACATCCAGTTTCTACTTCTAATCCGATCGCTGCTTTATCAAAGATTCGACCGGTTGAAAAGATGCCGACAATCTGATTTTTCAAATGACACCCATAAATCTACAGAATTATCACCCGCGAAAATAACTAAAGTCCAGCCTATTGACCTTTCTGCTGATAAAGTTCTCCAGAAAAAATTTGTTTCTAACTTGCCGACTAAGACGTCATCAGTTAAAAAAGAAACGGAACAACCGCAACCTGCTGAAAATAAGTTTAAGACAACTAATATTACTACACCACCGCCATCTGCTGAAGGAACATCTACAAGCACCTTACGGCCCGTTAATCATTTGCCATCTACTTCACAGTTAAATCAACAAGGGACTAGTTATCAGCAAACTAATCATAATGCTAAGAAGTCAATAACGTTGTATAATTTGTATCGAAGTGAATTTGATGAAATTGATTCCAGTCTACAGGACATTATTAACAAAACCCAAGAATGCAGAAGCAAGATGGCAAAATTGTTTTAGAAAAATATTCCATATGAAATCAAAGTTCGATTTCATAATCAACCAGACAATCAATAGAGTAATGAGAAGCACAAGAAAGTTATTCATATAAAACACAGTAGATAACTTCTTGTCCACTATTTATGATAAAATTTATTAATACACGAATTAATGTTAATTTACATATTAATATTACTATTACATAATTGTCGGTATAAACTTGACTTACTTCTTCGTAGTTTAGGGTATTAAAAGTGAGCCCGTCATTGAAATGTAGTATTTATTTATCTGAAGTATTTTAGATAATTTAAAATTTGCTATTTGGGAGCAATTTTCAACAAATCATTTACTTTCTAAAATTTAAGCGCACTGCTTACGTTCACGGACTTTATTCACAACGATACTCGAAGCTATATCTTTGAATCTAAAACTTACATTACTAAAAAGTACTTAGGATCAAAACATAATTCGCTGATCAAATCTTCGTACAATTCAATAATTTAATTATTTCTTATTTCTTATTATTATCATTTATTTTTCATTATTTCTAGCTATTATTTTTTATATTACATATTTAAATAATTGAATTTACTTATTATACGTTACATTATTATTATTATTTTTTTTTTCTAAACACATATCTTTAACATAGTAAATGCTTTCCATTTCTTAAAGTAATTTCTCATGTAAGAAATAATCTTATATTGTTCTTTTGTAACTGACAATAATTGACTAGACAATTCTCTTTCTAGTTTCCTGATAGTTAAATCATTTAAGTGATACATATCTTTTGCATTGTTTAAGAGTAACTTTATGTATGCACATTAATTAATTACACTATTAATTATAATATGAGAAATTTTTAATAAAAAAATACAATATTGTGAAGAAATAAAATAAACTTATTAAAAAAATTAAAAAACAACATTTATTACTAAAACAATTATGTACAAAAAAAATTATAAAAATATTTTACATATTACAATAATATTTACTTATGGTAACAAATTTAATAAGAACAGTCTGGGATGAATATTAATGTAAAAACAGAAATTACGGTGAAATTAAAATAGTTAAACACGATGATCAATTTAGATATTAACAAATAAAATGAAATAATAATGATATGTAAAAAGTTGAGCGTCGGTAATTTGTAAAGTAGGTTTTTATAGGTATATTAATCCAAAGTAATGATAAGTGTTGGTGTAAATATGCTGTTGAGTAACAGGTTTTGATAGATCGGCGGTGTGGAGAAAATAAGAAAGGGAGGAGTGTACTCATACAGAACTTGTTCAACTGCATGTTCATCGTTAACTCGTAAGTTCAAGTGGTTTGTTGTTGTGTTGGTAATAAAAATGAGACTCTCTCTCTTGTAGCCTCGAGGATTTAACAATATCAACTTATATATATACACAACTTTTACTTTTTGTGATATCCTGAAAAGCTACTACCGCTACCACCTGAAGAGTAAGAATCAGAGCCACTGAATCCAGAAGAGAAAGAAGAACCGCCGTGACCTCCAGAAGAATATCCTCCAGAGCCACCATGACCTCCAGAAGAATATCCTCCAGAACTACCATGACCTCCAGAATAACTTGAAGATCCACCACCGAAACTTGATGAAAATCCACCGTGACCACCACCTCCTCCACCTCCTCCTCCAGAATAACCTCCAGAACTTCCGTGACCTCCAAATCCAGATGAACTGCCTCCATGCCCACTATTAAATATTTAAAATAATTTTAACAATTTTTTTTTTAAATATAAATCAATTTAAATGATAAAATATCTAACCTGCTTCCAAATCCTGAAGAAGGTACTCCATAGCTAGTAGAAGGAGGCCCATAACTTTGTGATGGAGGTGCTCCATAACTAGACGATGGCGATCCTCCGTGACTTGATGAGAAGCCTCCACCTCCTGATGAGAAGCCTCCACCACCTGATGCTGACCATCCTCCTCCTCCTCCTCCTCCACCTGATGATGGTGCTCCATAACTTGATGATGGTGGTGCTCCATAACTTGAAGACGGAGCTCCTCCACCATGGCCTGACGATGGTACTCCATAACTAGACGATGGTGCTCCGCCACCTCCTGATGATGACCATCCTCCACCACCACCACCTGAAGATGACCATCCTCCTCCTCCACCTCCACCTGAAGATGACCATCCTCCTCCTCCTCCACCACCTGATGATGGTACTCCATAACTAGACGATGGTGGTCCATAGCTTGACGAAGGAGCTCCTCCATGACCGGATGATGGTGCTCCATAGCTTGAAGAAGGAGCTCCTCCTCCATGGCCTGATGATGGTGCTCCATAACTTGAAGAAGGTGGTCCATAACTATCTCCTCCATGTCCAGAGCCTCCAAATCCTCCAGATCCGCCTCCTCCACCACCTCCGTGACCTCCAAAATCACCTCCAGAACCATGTGAATCAGATCCTCCAAATCCGCCACCTCCATGCCCACCTAAATCACCTCCAGAATCTCCGTATCCTCCAAAAGAACCACCTCCAGATCCTCCAAAATCACCACCGTGACCACCACCTCCAAATCCGCCTCCTCCATGGCCACCACCTCCAAATCCACCTCCTCCTCCATGACCACCGCCTCCAAATCCACCTCCTCCGTATCCACCACCTCCACCTCCATCTCCACCACTCCAACCGCCTCCTAGGCCACTCATTTCAATATGATCACCTCCACCTCCACCTGGTGGTCCATGAATATCATGGCTGTCATGGCTCTCTTTTTCTTTCAAGTGTATCCTTATATGTACGCTGAAATAATTTTAATAACAATTAAAAAATCACCTTGTATCTTGTGAACTATTGACATTTTTTAAGATATAAGCTCATCCCGATGTTGCACTCATCAAGACCTTTCATTTGAGTACCCACATCAATTTTTCATATATTTATATATCTTATATATATATATGAATATATGAAAAATATATCAAAAATGCATGTGGGTACTCAAATGAAAGCTCTTGATGAGTATAACATCGAAATGAGCTTATATCTTAAAAAATGTCAATATTTAAGAAAGTACAGTGCAATTTAACAAAAGTCATTATTTATTAAAGCAAAATTCTATTTATTTATAAAAATTAAAATATATATTAATAGTGACTGTAAGTTTGAAATTTGAAAGAATTGTTTATAAAAAATTAAAATTACTTACTGTTCATTTCCAAACGTTGCAGTGACAGTTTTAAAACTGATTGACACTATTAGAAGAATCTATGGGAAGAAATAAAAAGTAATTTAATAAAAACATCGCTTTTTTGATAATATTATTTATTATCAAACTTCATAACTTAATTTTCACTTCATAAAAAAATTAAAAGCTACAAAGCTTGATAATATTTAAAGAAAAAAAAATGAATAAAAATCTTACAATAAATCTTGATGTCATTTTACAATGAACCGTACAAAGATGCACTTGATGACACCGAAGATGTATCCTTACTGTTATATATATTTGAGATGAGCGGGCTTATATATATACTGAGGTGAGAAAATATCAAAGGGAAGGAAGGAAGTAAGTGAGTACCAGTAGGATCGAGTGGGGAAGAAATGTGACGGCAGTAGTACAAGCACATGTTGTTCCGTCTTTCTGTCTCAATGTCTTTGTCAGACTTACTTACTCACTTTGTATGTGTGTGATTATCATATACATATGCTTATTTAGAGAGAGAATTAACAATAATGAAGAAGAAAGATGTAAGATATAAATTACGAGGATTCGTAGATCCCACAACGACCATGACCCAGAGAAATTGCGCTTCAGGCATATTAATATTCCATAATGTTCAACTATTCTTCATGCATGTATTTATATATTTTATTTTATTTAAAAACAATCGTTAATTTATTAACTCTTTAGTTTCATTTACTAGAAATTCATGCTAAATTATTCATTAATTTTTAATCTTGATAATTTTATCAAAATTTAAAATCATAAAAAAAAAGTAACCTAATTTTAGAACAATTTTTTTAATTGAAGAAAATTACTTCCTTTAATTTTGGTCTTTTTTTCTCACCGAAATTTTTTTCTATTACGTTAAAATTATAATTTATAATTTATAATTGATAATAAAATTACTATTAAGCAATAATCGGTAATTATTACACATTTTAACAGCCACAGGTAATAATTTAAAAATTATGTCGAGTGATAAGTAACGATAAGCAAGAGTGTTTACACTAATAATATTATTTAGTGAAATAAGGTGTAATATTAATAGCTAGAGCGAAATAAGTAATTACTTTCTATTATGAGTACTTATTTTCACTTTATACGCAGTTATATTATACAACTCGCGTGTAATAATAATAAATAAGGATCTGGATTACTTGTTCACCAATCCATCACCAAAATACTATTTTTTATGATTATGTTTGTTTAGTTCATAAAAAAAATAATTACTACTTCGTTGTCTTCTTTTGAAGAGTCAAGTAGCTGAGAAAAAAAAAAAAACAATTATCTGAAGGTAATTCCAGCTGTACTTTACTGAGAGTTAAGGAAATAGAAAGTGCTCTCTGTACTGCTCATCGTGGGAGAAGAGATGCAGTGCAGAGAAGATACGTGTTACAATTCCCTTTCTATCTTTTCATCTTTATAACTCTCTCCTTCTTCGGGTCATTAATATTTTATAATTTTCCCGCAAATTAATGGATTAATCTTCATTTCTTTAGCATTTATCAAACACACATTACTTAGAGGTAATTGTATTACTATTACGTTTTTTATTCAGCACAGTCATTGTTGTTTTCTTCTTTCTGTGTGAAGAATATATTAATAAATAAATGGCCTTGACAGTGATTTTATAATTATAATTAAAATAATAATAATAATCATAATAATAATTTATATTATTAAGAGAATAAGAAAAATTTTGTGTCCAGGATATTCATATGATAAAATTGGTTTTTTTTTTTTTTTGTGAAATTTAGTGTCATTGCAAAGGTCGAAGTTGTGCTTTTTCAAGGTTTCATTTTAGTCTTACCAATAGTCTATTTATTATGATAAGTATTTAGGCTACAAAAATACTCTAGATACATATTTAAGAAATTACCTTGTATCTTGTGAAATATTGACATTTTTAAAGATATAAGCTCATTCTGATATTACACTCATCGAGACCTTTCATTTGAGTACCCACATCAATTTTTTCATATATTTATATATTTTATATATATTATATATATGTATAGGGGAGGGGGGGGGGGCAAAATGGGGGTAGGGGTGGCAAAATGGGGGTACCCCCCAAAATTTCGTAAAAAATATTTTTTTTTCCAGAAAAATTCTTGAGTCATGATAGATTTTGAAGTTTAAGAAAAATATATCTTGACCCAAGAATTTTTCCTCTTGGCTCAAGAAATTCATTTTCTTCCAATTGGTGTTCTTGGTTCAAGATTTTTACTCTTGAGTCTAGTTAAAATTTCTATCAGTGTGTAAACCTCTCATAACTTTTGTGCAATTCCACTGATTTGAACGACAATCGCGTTATTCGATAAGGTTCAGCGAAACTTAGACTTCCTCATAAATTTAAAATAACTTTTTTCTTTTAACAGCTTTTAAACAGATGTAACAATCAATTCCAAAATCTAAACAGTTTTTTAATTTAAAAAATGACGTTGACTGCTGCAAACCGCATCAAAATCGGGTGATGTGTTGAAGAGAAATCGTACACTAATTATTTTAAAAAAGTGTCTTTTTCAAATAACGTCGAATTTATTCTCGAATTATTTTTGATGACATAATTTAACTATGAATGCTCAGAAAACTGAGTTAGAGGCCGCCAATAGCTTCGAAATCATTTGGTGCACTTGTGAGATATTTAATTTAAAAAGTAAAACCTTCAGGCCTACAAGATTATTCAACTTGAAAAAATTTTCCTGAATCCCTAAACCAAGAAAAAGAGTGCAAAAAAATTACGAAACTTTTTTTTCGTGCTATTACTTTGAATTGCGTGAGAACTATGAGTCTAAAATTTTTTTCACCGGGAGTTCCAAATACTAGAATTTTCTCAAGAGAACTCTTTTTTTTTCTTTGGGTTCTTTCGTAGACTTATCGATAAGAAAATGTTATTTTTTTAACGATATTTCATTTTCGGATGAAGAATTTTTTTTTTTCACTCTTTCAGGGAGTACCCCATTTTGCCCGCAAAAAAAAAATAATTTTTTTTCTACGGCAACTTGAAATTTGATTATCTATCTTTAATTACGACTGAAAACGAGAAAAATCAGCGTATTTAAGTCCTTAAAATCATAACGATTGCTTAAGTGCCCCATTTTGCCCCCCCCTCCCCTATATGAAAAATATATTAAAAATGCATGTGGGTACTCAAATAAAAGCTCTCCATGAACGTAACATCGGGATGAGCTTATATCTTTAAAAATGTCAGTAGTTGACAAGATACAAGGTCATTTTTTAATTGTTGACATTTTTAAAGATATAAGCTCATTCCGATGTTACACTCATCAAGACCTTTCATTTGAGTACCTACGTCAATTTTTCATATATTTTATATATTTATATATATATTATATATAATGAATATATGAAAAATATATAAAAATGCATGTGGGTACTCAAATGAAAGCTCTCGATGAGTGTAACATCAGAATGAGCTTATATCTTTAAAAATGTCAATAATTAAGAAATGAACTTGTATCTTGTGAAATATTGACATTTTTAAAGATATAAGCTCATCCGGACATTACACTCATCGAGACCTTTCATTTGAGTACTCACATCGATTTTCTCATATATTTATATATTTTATAAATATTATATATATATGTATATATGAAAAATATATCAAAAAAGTATGTGGGTACTCAAATGAAAGGTCTCGAAGAGTGTAACATCGGGATGAGCTTATATCGTTGAAAAGGTCAATCTTCAAGAAAGTACAGTGCAATTTAACAAAATTCATTATTTAATAAATCAAAATTTTATTTATTAATAGTTCACAAGTCACAGAAGTCACATAGTGAATGCAAGGTTGCTAGGAATAATAATAATATATTTTCAATTCTCAGAGAATTTATTCTTCGCAAAAGCATTAACATAAAACTCACTTACATATGTATCTTTCTCTTTTTATCCTTAAACTTGTTGTCAATTGCTTCCTGTAGTTTTCTTTAAACTTTATAGGTTAAAGCCAACCGACCATTATCATTATTTTTCTTCCGACTCCCAGGTGGTATTTTATAATCCTTTCCCTTTCACATCGTGAATGTGGACGTGTGTGTATGAGTGTGTTGAGTGAGGAGCGGAGAATCTTGTCTGGGAAATGTAATGGCCAGCAAAAACCGACCAACATTGTCTCTACTTACTCATTTCTCGACCTCAGGGGCTTCGGGTCGGAGATTATTGCTAATAAAAGAGCGTCCTTTGCCGTATTGAATTCTGGACGATTAAAATTACATACATACATAAAAATATTACATACATTCATGGTCATGAACAACTAAAGATATGTATTTACTTTCTTTATTTAAATTTATTTATATATTTATATATTTGTATACTTCCTTGATATCAAAATTTTTTTATTTTTATTTTTATTTTAATTTACTTTTTTTTTTTAAATAATTCTAAATTATTTTTTTTTATTTTCATTAAAAATCAGTTATACAAAATAAATAATTTATTAAATTTTTTTAATAATTAATTTATTATTAATTAAATAAAAAATAATTAATTTAATAGTCAAAATCCAAAAAATGAACACCTGTTTGTTATTTAAACAATAATTTTAATTGCATTTTTTTTTTTAACACAAAATTACATTATTTATTTCAACTATTAAAAAAAAAATTAATTCAAAACAAATTTAATATTTCTTCTTTGAAATTAATTATAAAATAGAATATTTTTGTATAAAAAACTATTTTTATTATTTTTAACTTTCATTGTTTTGCAATTTTATGTAAATTTAAAGATTAATATTAAAAATAATTGTTTTCTTCCCGTTAAAAAAAAAAAATAATATATATTTTACGCTTAATAAGTAGTTTTGTTTAATTAAAAAAAAATTCAACATTTTTTTTTGTCCAAGAAGATATAATTTACAATAGAAATTTTAAAATTCTTTATAATTAATTTCTTCGTTGTTACAGCTAAGAAATGATCCTGAAGATGATATGACAATTACAAAATAAAAAAAAATAATAATAATAATGATAATAATTCATCTGACAGAAGATTGGGGTAAACGAAAAGCAATCGTTGCAAAAACTTTCTAGACTTTCAAATTCAAACACTCCACAGTTGATCGGCTCCAGTGAAAGTAACATTTACCTGTGTGTATGCATCTTAAATATCTTCACTAGTTGCATTATTGAACTTCACAGTCATTAATTCACCTTGATCGATCAAAATAACTTCATTATTATCATAAAAAAACGGTAAAAGTATATTTATTATTTCTTCATACATAACCTATAAATACTTTGCTTAAAATTAACAATACAAAACCATTATCACAAACTTTTTTTTAATAACAATATTAATTTTTCAGTAACTATAATTACATTTATAAAAATTAAATTTAATTGAAGAATACTGAGGTAAAAGACCTAGTTATTGACACTGGCTTAATTATTGACACTTGCAATTTTATTTTAATTAAAAAGAAAACGAATTAATTCTTATAAATTAATTAATATGAACTTTTGGATTATAAATTTTAAGATAATTAGTTTTTTGAGAATTAAAATAATTAATTTAATAAATTAATTTTATAAAATTAATTAATTAAAAAAAAATTAATTAATTGAAAAAAAAATTAATTATTTTAATTTATTAATTAATTTTAAGTCACTTAATTAATTTTAAAGTAATTAACTGTTTGAAATTAATTAATTTTTTTTAATTAATTAATTTTAAAATTAAGTGACTTAAAATTAATTAATAAATTAAAATAATTAATTTAATAAATAAATAAATTAACAAAAATAATTAATTGAATAAATTAATTTTCATAAAAAATTTTCTAATCTAAAAATAATATTATTTAAATGTGGAACGCTTCACGATTTTGCTTCCTATTTTTTTTTAATTTAGAATAAAATTGCAAGTATCAAACAACTAGACCAGTGTCAATAATTGGGTCTTTTACCTTATTACATTAATTTAATGTAGCATAAACTTTGGTACTTAATAGCAAAATTATCAACAATATTTCGGGATTTGCATCTTAAAAATTGTCAAAAATTCAATTCTATCTTAAAAAAAAAAAAAATCTATTTATGAAAAATAGTCGGTGAGTGAAGTGAAAAGTAACCCGGATGTAAATGACTATTTTGTTGGTTATGTCCTTGAGGAACTTGTGGAACAACTTGCGCTCCAGTAGCGACAATAGCGGCCGCTGTGGCAACTGGAGTTGGATTTGGCCGAAGTTCGGCAATTGGCTTGTAACGATTGTAATCTTGCGGAATATCTTGAACATGTTCATTAACAGCGTACCCAGAATTTTGCTTTAATAAATTATTACTTCCAATTCCTCCATTATGCAAATTAATGTGTCTTAAAAATTGTGCAGGTATGTTAAAACCATTTTGAGCCGCTAATTCTGCTACATTTATTATCCCCATATTTTTATTATTATTATTGAAGACATGTGTGGGCCAATTTTTAGCCAACTCTGTAATTTTTTTGTTGTAATCATCATAAAGAATTGTATCACGTATAATAATTCCTTTTTTATCATTATCATTATTATTATTATTATTATTATTATTATTATAGTAATTATTTTGACTGGTAAAAGATTCAATATCACGCGTGATAATTGACTTTTCATTGTTATTATAATCATTATTATTATCGCTAAGTAGTCCAAGTTGTTTCGCTTTAAAAATAAGCGATTTTATTTCTTCTAATCTTCTTTCTGCTGTTAAATCAAAATTGTTTGGATTATTTTGATTATATGGATTATGATTATTATTATTGTGATTTGCTATGGCAGGTAACTGCGATACCGACTGGGAAGGATAGTTGTCTTGAGAAGAAATAGAAGCACCATTGAAATTGCTGCCAGTTAATGCGTCGTGAGGAACATATCCTTTACCAAATGACAAAGCGTGAGTAATTCCTTTTCCGTGGGGAATTAATATGTGATTAACTGGTCTATTGTTGTTAAAATCGTCGTCAATACCTCTTGGAACACTAGGGTGCTGTTTGTTTCCGTGAGAAGACATCAACGGATGATTTTTGTTAAACCGAAACCGGGGATTCCCGGTTAAAAAATGATAAGGAGCTTGAAGATGATTTGGTGGGTTGTGGTTGGAACTCCGGATTATTGTTGGAGAAATTTCGTTGTCCAGCAATTCTGGATGACGATTAAATTGACGGTAAGGAGCCATCATGGGTGTTTCTCGTCGGACTTGCCGTGGTACTATTAATACCATTTTTTTTCTGGAAAATATATATAATTTTGTAATTGATATTTACATAAATTATTTATATTATTGAAAATATATAAGCAAAATTTTGTGGTCAGTATTTATATGATAAAATGGGTTTTATATGGTTAAATTTGGTAATTAAGAAATTAAATTAAAAAATGACCTTGTATCTCGTGAACTATTGACATTTTTAAAGATATAAGTTCATCCCGACATTACACTCATCGAGACCTTTCATTTGAGTACCCACATCAATTTTTCATATATTTATATACATTGTATATATGTATATATGAAAAATATATCAAAATGCATGTGGGTACTTAAATAAAAGCTCTTGATGAGTGTAACATCGCAATGAGCTTATATCTTTAAAAATGTCAATAATTAAGAACTGACATTGCTATCTTGTCAACTAATGACATTTTTAAAAATATAAACTCATCCCGATGTTACACTCATCAAGACCTTTCATTTGAGTACCTACATCAATTTTTGATATATTTTTCATATATACATATATGTAATGTACATAAATATATGAAAAATATATGAAAATGCATGTAGGTACTCAAATGAAAGCTTTTGATGAGTGTAACATCGTAATGAGCTTATATCTTTAAAAATGTCAATAACTAAGAAATTACCTTTTATCTTATGAAATATTGACATTTTTTAAGATATAAGCTTACCCTGGTGTTGCACTGCTCAAGACCTTTCATTCAAGTACCCACATCGAATTTTCATACATATTTATATATGACATATATTTATATATGAAAAATATATCAAAAATGCTTGTGGGTACTCAAATGAAAGGTCTTGATGATTATAACGTCGGGATAAGCTTATATCTTTAAAAATGTCAATAGTTAAAAAAATACAGTGCAATTTAAAAAAAGTCATTATTTAATAAAGCAAATTTTTATTTATTAATTTACTTACTGTCCATATATAAATTTTGGAGTAAAAGTCAGTAGGATGAATATTAAAAATTTCTGTTGAAAAGAAGAAATAAAAATACTATTAAATTCAAAAAAAAATTAATTAAAGAAGAAATATATTCAAAACTTACCATTAGGATCATTTTTATGCAATAACTTTGTTTCAATAAAGAAGAAATAACTGACCAAAGATAACGTTAATTATTCCGAAGTATTTTGCATAAACAATTTAAAAACTTTTTTTTAAAAGAAGAAAACTTGTTATGTTCATATTAGATTTAGTTAGACTGTACAATATCCCAGCACAAGTTCAAGGAGTGTCTAACTAAGCAAACTCTTAGTGAGATACTTGTTTTATATACAAGATAAATCGTTCCAGAGGAGAAGGATCGTTGGTCCTCCCACTTCTCATCTTAGTGTATCTAGTGTATTAGATTTATTCACGCTCGTATTATGCCACTTACCACTCACAACTTACCACATATTATTTTATATATAGTCTTCATACTATTCTGTTGATTGCTGATGGTTAATATTTTTTCGCAAGAGTTATTCCTCCTTATTTAGATAAAATCTGATAATTATTCCAGTCATCCGCGTCAATTTTTTTCTTAATATTTATTATGATAGCGGAATATTAATGTTTATATATTCCCGCGGTTTATAATCTTTCACTTTAATAACACTTAAAATGCAAAACATTAAATCACTTTTTGAATTTACCCGCTAGAATATTTCTTCTTTAATACTATCAATAATCACCCCATAAAATTTGGACATTAAAATCAAGCCGTCGGCCATTTTGAATAGTTAAGCTCACTTCAAAGTTTTCTTCTTTAATTAAATACAGTTGTTAATTAATATCAACAGAAAGTTATTATTTTTCGAGTTTATAAATTGGCAAAATTATAATTATACTTTCATTTTATCAATTAAAACTTTATTTTAATTTCAGTTTTAAATTATTATTGATGTTTTTCAATTATTAGGTTTCATAAAAAGTAGAGGGCGCGTCTTACGCGTTTAATTTAAAAAAAACTTTTTCCTTAACTACAGTAATAGATGTCTTAATTACAATTAATTTGTTATAATACAAATTAAACGATAAAATTACCATTTTTTATGCATGAATATCTATAATTTAAATAAATTTAAAAATATTTCATGCGTAAAATGTTATCCATAAATCTAAAGAGTCTATATTAACCTAACTTTTAATAACCTAACAGCTCGATTTGTTTTCCCTCATAGTTTTCTTAAACCTAATTACTCATTTCTTCTTTTTTCTTATTTTAAAGTCGTTACACTTATTCCATTGTAAATAATAGAGTTAATACTCAAGACGGGTGCATCAAACTCCTTTCTCCGCTCCTTATTCTTACGGTCAAGCGCAAAACCTGATGATGAAAGTAAACTTGCCAATATATTTAATTAGGCTTATTAAATTAACCGAAAGAAATAAATCTTTAAACACACAACCGGAATAAATTATAAATTACTCTAATATACATACAATAAATGAATAGAATAATAAATTAGAGATTGACTTTAATGGTAAACATTTTTCTCACATAAAAAACTGTACCAAATTGTTCCATCGACATTTTCCTGCTTTCTCATGTATTATATTACAATGTTTGTATATATAATATATAATGTGCATTCTTGTCATTTACACCCGGTAATTATATATTTATATATGGACAATTTTAATAGAGACGTATTGTTCAGGTTAGTAAGTATTGTCTGCCTTGATTTATTTGCAAAAAAAATTACAATTGTTTTCAAGCCCATAAAAATAATTCAAGATCTTGAACTTGGCAATTACTATTACCATTACTGAGGAGTGAAAGGACTTTAATAAATTAAATGTTTATTGGTTTTTTAATTTTTTGCTACTTTAGACCTTTCACGGTTTTGTCTTCGGTTCGACAATATTACTTCCTTTCGATTTTGTCGACCAATATATAACAACTCAATATACAAACCCGATCAGTTAACACTCTGATTTTCTGTGCTTTAGTTTGGTGGTAACTTGAACCTAATTTCAAAATGTTATATCCACAAAAACTTATTTTTGTAAGTATATATACTTACTTCATATATTCTTCTATTTGTAACTTGAAATTAATAATGTAAATTTCTTTTTATAGATAACAATTTTTTTAGTGAGTTTTTTGGTAAATTTTTCTACATCTGAAGATGATGTACAACAGTAAGATGATTATTATCATTATTATTGTTTTTTTTTTTAATAGTGTTAGTTTGTCATAATCATAAATTTATTAATTTTTAGTGACCATGTGATTATATATGTGCCTTACTATGTAAAAACATTGAAGCATACTCATACAATAACGAAATATATACACCAAAAAGAAGATGATAAGAAGTACAAAGTACTTGGTTACACTGTCGGCAAGCCAATTCTCGCTCCACATCAAGTTTTTCAAGCTGAAAGTTATAATAATAATAATAATAATAATAATAATAATAATGAAGATTGTTTTAAAAATTATGGCCATAATGATAATAATAACAAAGAAGAAATGGTGAAAACTTACATGGGATATCTTGGTGGCGTTAATCACTATGCTGGACATAATCAAATTAATCACAATGATTTTCCAGATAAATTTTCTGGATATTAATATCTTCTGAAGATATACTTAATTAATAATTTTAATATATATTATATATGTATACAGTAAAAAAAAAAAATTAACTTGATTAAAAAATTTTTGAAAAAAGAAAATTGAATTGAAGAAATTTTTTTCTGACTTAAATAAATTTTACTTGACTTAAGAATTCTTCTGTTCACTCAAGTTAATTTTTTAAATTTAATTTATATAAAATAAATTATTTAATAATTATATATAAAAGTTTGTATAAAAATTAAGTTTTCTTCTTTATTTGGTTTATAAAATTGCCAATTTTAAATCCTAGTCTTTTTTATAAAAATGCATACATATTAATATAAACTAGCAACCTTGCAGTCACTATGTGACTGCCGTGACTTGTGAACTATAAATAAATAAAATTTTGCTTTATTAAAAAATGACTTTTATTACGTTGCTCTGTATTTTCTTAACTATTGACATTTTTAAAGATATAAGCTCATCTTGATGTTGCACTCATCAAGAGCTTTCATTTGAGTACCCACATCAATTTTTGATATATTTTTCATATATACATATATATAATATATATATATAAATATATGAAAAATTGATGTGGGTACTCAAATGAAAGGTCTTGATGAGTGTGACATCGTAATGAGTTTACATCTTAAAAAATGTCAATAATTAAGAAATGACATTGTATCTTGTGAACTAATGACATTTTTTAAGATGTAAGCTCATCCCGATGTTATACTCATCGAGACCTTTCATTTGAGTACCAACATCAATTTTTCATATATTTATATACATTATATATATGTATACATTAAAAATATATGAAAATGCATGTGGGTACTCCAATGAAAGGTCTCAATAAGTGTAACATCGGGATGAGCTTATATCTTTAAAAATGTCAATAGTTCACAAGAAACAAGGTCTTTTCTTATTTATGTATCTGGAGATAGAGCATTTTCAAATGCAGCCTAAATATTTATCATTATAAATTAACTATCGGTGAGAATGATATGAAACCTTAAAAAGGCACAAATTTAAGTCAAGACCTTTGCAATGTCACTTAATTTCACTAAAAAAATCGCTTTCATAGTATGACTATCCTGGACACAAAATTCTTCTAATTCTCTTAATAATACAGATAAAAAATGTAATAAAAATATATCGATAAAAAATCTAAAACTAAATATGATTTAATAATCAGAAAGTAGTTTAAGAAGATAATTACTCCTCACAAATTTAAAATTATTATTAGCAGCATCATTAGCTTGTTCCACTGGAGATTGTTCAATTTTATTATTATAAAATTTTGCGTACTCATCATCAGTGTGCAAATGTCCAGATTGTAGCTTCCCTGCATGATGATGTCCTTGATTGTACTCAACCCGTTCATAAGAAGAATTTTCAACACTATTATTGTCAAAATCATCTTCATTTCCATTAAAATCATTCGCGTAATTATTATGAAGGTACTGAGGAGGGTATGAGTATCCAGTAACACCAGTTTCAAATTTAGTCACTGGAGGAGGTTCTTCAAGACTCGCCGAGTAGTCTTCTGGCTCTCTATAATCGTCGTAAAAGGGAGGCTCACCTTGGTCTTGATGATTATTATAACTTTCTTCGTAAGAAGTGCTCCAGCTATTGAAGTTTTCATTTAAATAATTTTGTTTTTTCGGGTAATTATTCTTTTTTTTCTTCTTCGGCGGACTGTGAAGATATACCCAGACTGTATTTGTGTGAATATGCCGCTTTATTAATTCTGGGACGTAAATTTTTAAATGGACACTAAAAATTGTGTGAATTAATTTTTAATTTGTGTTTCTTCAATGAAGAAATAGAAAAATAAAAACTTACTGCTCACTATCAGCTTCAATGTCCAAAATTTTTATCATCACAAATAAATAAATAAAATTCGACTTCTAGAAAAATTTATAAATAATAATTTAATAAAAAAGTTTATGTTTAATGACAATTATTTATGAAAATTAAGTTAGCCGACATTTAAAAATTTTTAGAATTTTTTTTTTATCGAAAAAATTGTTAGAAAAAAATTTTTAAAAAATGTCACTTGTAAAAAACTTCAAAAGCTGTAAGTGAAATTTTTTAAAAATATTTTTTTGTTTTAATTTAATTATCAAAAAAACAAATAATTAAAAACGTTGGCTAACTTTAATATCATCAATTATTTACATAATAGTTAAGTTAGCCGACATTGTTATTTTTTAATTATTAAATTAGAATTAAATATTATTTTTTAAAAATTGCACTTATAGTTTTTTAAAATTGATTTTTTTTTGTAATAATTTTGTTAATAAAAAAAATTATAAATAATTTTAAATGTCGGCTAACTTAATTTTTATATTATTTACCATTTTAATAAAGAAGATAAAAATAAAAGGTCTGTTCAATGTCACTGTAAAAATATAACTGCTTAGATTTAGAGGGACTAGATGGGATATTTATATTATTTAATTAATGTTCCGATACAGTTTTATCATGGGCTGTCGCTTTCGCGATTGACCACCGTAATTTAAGCGATTTTCTTAGAGACACTTTTTATTTGTTGTCCCAAGTGCAACAAAGCAATTAGAGTAAAACGGGGAAAGACAAATAAAACAAAGATCCATGACATCAAGGTAATGAGGTGATCCTTCATTTCTCCGTACGGCTTCACTTTTTAATTTTTAATGTTTGTTGTAAATTGGAATGTCGAGATTATTATTGCAAGCAAAAAAAAATATTTTTATTAAAAAAAAAGAATATCATTTAGAAGAATTTTATTATATTTAATCAAACGCTAATGTATTTGGAATATCAAGTATAATTTTATTAATATCTAAATATGACAAATAATAAAAGAAGAAATAAGTTTTATTTGTATAAAAACAATATTTATTTAAATTCACTACAGTAAAGCAATAAAACAAATAACAATGACAATATTAAACAGTAATTGAATACTAAAACAATATTATATCACTTATATTCAATAAAGCTTTGAGTATTTTGAGTTTAGCAATAGATAAAAATTTATTAATACAATAAAATACTTTGTTCGTTAATTTTTTAGTAAGAATAAAAAATTTGCAATACTGAATTAATGCTAATTGAATTTATTTACTTACTAATTCTTATTTATATTATTAATAATGAATCTTTGATTATAATAGTTGATTATAATTAACAAAACAACTGTTTTTAATGATATTGAATTTAATAGATATTTAATTATTTTTTTTGAAATTTTATTTTAAATTTTATTTTAATGATAACAAATTAGAAAAAAAATCTTTATGAAGAAATTTTTAAAAATTATAAATGCTTAGAGTAAAAAATTTTTTATAAATATTTAACACTTTTTTGAATTTTCAAAAATGGAAATTTTTTTTATAACAATTTTATTCCTTCAAAATAATGTTATTCTGTTAAAAATTTTGTCTTGAATAAAAATTAATTTTTTTATCAATACAAACTCGCTAATAATTTAAAACTGAAAAATAAAATTTCATACTAAATAAAATAAAAAAATTATTCATCAAAAAAAGAGCAATTCTGCTTATTTGACCATACTAGCTAAACAGTCATTAATTTTAACCTTTCTAATGAAAAAAAATTTCTCGGATTATCTATATATCAAACCTTCAAACTTTCTTTTGTTGAAAAGTGCCAATTAGCGTGTAAATGTCGAATTATTTCTTCTTTTAAAAAACTCAGATGGTTTTAACAAGGAAAACATATATATTTTTTTTATTTTACAAAATTTTTAATTAAATTTATTTTTGGTTCGTACAATATTAAAATTACTAATAATACTTTTTTTTTATTATATAAAATTTTTCTTCACCTCTTAAACAAATATTTATAACAGTAAAAAAAAATCTTTATTTAGTAATCAAAATTGTAATTTAGTAATTTAATTAATTAGATTTTTACAATTTTTATAATAAAAAAAAAAAAAATCAAAAGTAAAATTTTTATAATTAAAAATAAATATAAAGAGATCTTTATTCTTCATTTGTAATTTTTGGTTTTCTACATACGCATTGCATTGATTAATTACATTTTTATAAATCTAAAACTAAAATAAAACAACTAAGAAATATTGACTGCTATTTTGTACATAATAAGTTTCTTCTTTGAATCTTTGGTGTTAACATTTACGGCGGGTATTGATAATAATTTGTTATTTTATTCGTAAGTGTTATTTTTTAAAATGATCGAATTCTTCTTTGTCATCAACGCCGACATCAGATTTTCCGTGATCAATACTGTGTGGAATAACTTTGTAGACAGTGTGAGTGTGTTTTATTTTTTTTATACGATAAGGTACATGAATCACAACTTTTTTCTTCCTGAAATAAAAATAAACAAATTACTTAAGAAACTTTAAATGTAATTAATAAAAAAAAAAACTCACGCATCCGTTGGATGGTACAATATTAAGATTGTTACAATAAAAGCCAATAACCACTGTAAAAAAAATTAACAAATTAATATTTTTCAAGTAAAATAAATTATATTTTAGTATGAATTTTTATTGCGACATTTCTTCTTTAAACATTGAGACATTTCTTCTTTAAATAAAACAAATAATATAATTTAAAAAATAAAAATCACGCTTTGATAAAAAATCAAACTAAAAAGTAGAAAGTAATTTTCAATGAGTTTTAAATAAGAATTTTAAATAATTGAAAATAAATTTTTTTGTTAATCACTGAATTCTTATTAAAAATAATTTTCTTCTTTGTAGTTAGCTCTTTTATCAAAGCGTGTTTTAATCTTTTTTAAACAATTATTTATTTTCTACTTTTTAGTTCGAGCAGAACGTACAAAACGTCTTTAGTTGATCGTAACCTTAGTCATAAGCTTGTCTCAAAGATTAACCTATACCTAAAGTCTTATTACACGCGTAAGTACTTGGCGCTCGGTACTGCCGTGTCTTTAGATAAAAAAAAACCTTAAATCCTGAGGCTCCTAACCAGGATAATTAAACAAACTTATTAAATAATTGTAGTGTCATCGATCCTTGATAAGTGTGCAAAGTTTTTATGTAATCCGAAGTTTTTAAGTCGCCGAAAATCGAAAAAGATTTAATTCATAGATACAAATGAAGCTATTAAAATCTTACCAAATGTTCTTTCTTCATTTCTGCAGAACACTAACAGAACAATAAAGCACTGAAAAATGAACCACTCTGGCAATAAAAATAGTACACTGCGTTAGCCTTGGCATCGCGTCGGCTTTTATATATATAAAGTGAGGATGATTATCGAGGCGAATCATATCTACAAACTATTCAGTGAAACTGTTGATCCTCTCGTTAATGAGCGGAACAACTATATATATTGATGCTATTATAACAATTAATTTACTTTTGTTTTCGTACAATCACAGTACGCACAACAATGATATTAAAGATACGCTTCGCTTCTCGAATAACGCACTATCATTATTTTTCGCTTAATCATATTAATTAATTTAATTATTGCTAGCATAAATGCGAAAACAAAATTTTTAAACAATTTATTATTATTATTATTATTATTTACACTTCAATTTGAGTATTACACGGAAAAAAATAAATAGTAAATGCAACATGATGCAGTCTTGGTAAATAAACATGATGAAATCATGTTGCAGCCACATGATTTGTCATGTTTCGGCAACATGCCAATCATGTTGCGGTAGCACGATTTTTCTCATGCTACCGCAACATGATTGCCATGTAACCGCGACATGGCCAATCATGTTGCTGCCACATGATTGTCATGTAACCGAGACATGACAAATCATGTTGCTGCCGCATAATTTTTCTCATACTACCGCAACATGATTGTCATGTAGCCGAAACATGACAAATCATGTTGCTGCCACATGATTGTCATGTAACCGAAACATGAAAATCATGTTGCTGTCACATGATTTTTCTCATGCTACCGCAACATGATTGACATGTAACCGAGCCATGACAAATCATGTTACTGCAACATGATTTTTCTCATGCTACCGCAACATGAATGTCATGCTACCGCAACATGAATGTCATGTAGCCGAAACATGACAAATCATGTGGCTGCAACATGATTTCATCATGTTAATTTACCAAGACTGCATCATGATGCATTTACTATTTATTTTTTTCCGTGTATATCATAAGTGTAGTCTCAAAATTATGTCCTGTTCTGCTATGCCAATTGTGCAATTTGCTATTGCACTAGTTTTTTTTTTTTTTTTTGTACATAATCCGAGTAGTTTTTTTTTATTCATTATGAAATCTACTTCCATTTCGGCTGCTGAATGGCCTTTTTTATTATTATTATTATTATTATTTACGCGCATCGAATATTCTTCATATTCTTTTTGTAAAAAAATTTACATAACCCAGTTGTGAATTTTAATTCTATTAAAAATTATAACTGGAACAAAGATTAATGAAATTATACAATGGAACATTAAAATTACAGTTGTTTAATCTGCATATTTATATTAATAGGTAAGTAAAACAAAAAAGTGAAATCTCAAAGCGAAATGTTTATTGTAAGCTTGATGAAATCTCGGGCTTATTGAGATCGCGTGTGCGATCGATGCGTAACAATTGATGTAAATGTAAATATACGAGTGAAATAATTATCCATTAGATGTATTAGACTACTCTGTACTTATAAAGAAGAAATTACCAACACAAAGATGCATCCATATTATTATGTACATTTAATGGTTATTATGATGCGCCGTGCGAGTGTAATTTTCTCGTATCCGATAATTTACCCGCTTACTATACCACAACAAATCCTACTTCTGTTCGTAAGAAATTTCTATAGCGTTTTTTTTCGATTTTTCTATTACATATTGAAGATACTAATTAAATAAATTAGAAACACATGATTTCTTTAATTCAAATATCAATTTTTTCAATTTCCCCGATAATGTGAAAGTTTGTCGCACATATTTTCTCTTATTGATTTACCCATTTTTTTTTATTTCATATCCAGAGAAAGTTCCTGTCAATTATTTGATATCAACCCTTCACTCGTCAACTTAAACGCTAATTACTCGGAATATCAAGTAGAATTTTATTATTATTTAAATGAGACAAATAAGAAAAGAAGAAATAAGTTTTATTTGTATAAAAACAATATTTATTTAAATTCACTACAGTAAAGCAATAAAACAAATAACAATAACAATATTAGACAGTAATTGAATACTAAAATAATATTATATCACTTATATTCAATAAAGCTTTGAGTATTTTGGGTTTAACAATAGATAAAAATATATTGATACAATAAAATACTTTGTTCGTTAATCTTTCAGTAAGAATAAAAAAATTTGCAATACTGAATTAGTGTTAATTGAATTTATTTACTTACTAATTCTTACTAAAAGATTCAATATTAACAATATAAATAATCAACATAACAATTGTTTTTAATGATATTGAATTTAATAGACATTTCATTATTTTTTAGATCTTTGTTGGAATTTTATTTTAATCATAAAAAATTAAGAAAAAAATTCTTTGTGAAGAAATTTTTTAAAAATTATAAATGCTTGGAGAAAAAATTTTTTATAAATATTTTACAATTTTTTTGTGTTGATTTAAGAGAAGTAATATAAAAAAGTATTGAATGTAGATATAAAAGTGTTAAATATTTTTTAAGAAAAAATTTTTTTTACAATAATTAACTAGTTATAAAAATAATGAAATTATAATCATAAAAAATTAGAAAAAAAATCCTTATTTAGAAACTTTAAAAAATTATAAATGCGTAAAAGAATAAAATTTGTTTTAAAAAATATTTAACACTTTTTTGTATTGAAAAAAGTGTAAAATATTGAGTTAAAAAAATTTTTTGCGCTATAACACAAAATTTTTACTGTGCAAATTGAGAAAAAATTTTTTTTTTCATAATAATTAACTCGGCTGTCCAATTTTAGAACACAGTAACTCCAAAATTTGTGTATCTGATTTTTTTTTAGTATTACTGCATTTTTTTACTTTAAACCTTAATTTCAAGTATTTTTCTTAAAATATTTTTTCTATTCGTAAAACAAATTTTTTATCAATTAATAGGCGCGCAAACTATTTTTTTAACAAGAAAAATTTTAAAAAATAATAAAATTGTCAGTTGAAATTGGACTGCCGAACTAGTTATTAAAATAATGAAATAATAATGATAAAAAATTAGAAAAAAAAATCCTTATATAGAAATTTTATAAAATTATAAATGTGTAAATTAAAAAAATTTGTTTTAAAAAATATTTCACACTTTTTTATATTAATTTAAGAGAATTTACACAAAAAAGTGTAAAATATTTAATTAAAAAAATTTCTTGCGCAATAATACAAAATTTTTACCGTGCGTAGAGTAAAAAAAATTGTTTTAAAAAATATTTTATACTTTTTTGTATTGATTTAAAAGAATTAACCCAAAGAAAGTGTAAAATACAACTAAAAAATTTTTTACTGTATAATTAAAAAAAAATTATTCCTTTACAATAGTTGGTAACAAAAATCAAAAAATGATTAAATGTCTGTTAATTCCACTATCTTCTTTAAATGGCGAATAAAATCCTTACGAGTCCTTAGAACTAGTCATAGAAACCGAACTCTGGACACTTTCAACAATCCTAACTCTCCTATTACTATTCTTCAATTTATCCAATTTCCTCTTATTCTTTTTAATATCATCCCTCCAATTATTACTCGCAGTTAGCTCCATTACACTATCAATATTCCCCGCGGTATTATTAAACCTCCTAGTAAATCTCTCCTCCTCCTCCTCCTCCTCCTTCTCCTTCGTCGTACTAGTAATCATCGTCGTCGGTGCTTTCCATTCTCTCACCATTCCCCTCGAACTATTATTACCTCCAAAAATTCTCTGCTTCCTCAAAACTCTCGCGTTAAATTTTCTATCATGTCCTCGATTGTGTTCCTGAGTCTCTCCTCTTCCCAAAGTGATTCCATCTTTGGTGGTGATTCCGTCCTCATCTTTCTCATTAATCTTCAAGTTGTCCATCCTTGAATCCGAGCTTTTTTCCGTGACAATCCACTCTCTATCATTCTCACTCTCACTATCACTACCATCCCGATTTTCATTATTACTATTAAAGTAAACAACTTCAGAAGAATTGTCCTGAATATTACCGACCTCCCTCCAGTCTCTCAAATTAGGCGGAGCAATTTCTTGAATATCCCTCGCACTATATCGATTTGTGCCACTGGGAGTTGTTGTAATTGGTAATAATGAAGTCGGTCTGTACGTAGTAGGTCTTAAAGAAGCAGAAGATTTAATAATAGCGGACGTTGTCTTCAATGGCCGCCAATATCTTGTGTCTTTATAGCTCGGGTTTGTCGGAATCATCCGATCAGCTCGGTAAATTTCGTTTTCACTTACCGAAACTGAAGACGATGGAGAAGATTTAGTTGTTGTAATTCTGGGACGCTTTGTTGAAGAAACTCTACTGAAGTCTACTGTTTCAATAGTTTCTTTTATTTCTTCCCTAAATTCTTCTTTTTCTTCTTCTTCTTCTTCTTCTTGATTATTATTTAATTTGTAAGAATTTCCTGAAGAAATATTACCACTTAAAGGTTGACTATTATAATTGTAATTGTACTGAGAATTATCTTGCGTTGAATACGGCGGACGATAATTTGATCCGTAATTAAAATTATTACCAGAAATTGAGTTGTATTTTTTATTATGATTATTATTGAAGTTAGAGTAGGAAGAAGAAGAAGAAGAAGAAGAAGAAGGAGATTGAGGAACTAAAGGACGGAAAGGTTCATTTGGTGTCGGATTGGGAGAAAAATGGGGTTTTTGATACGGCTGGGGGGAAAAATCTTTGTAGTAATTTTGAGGAGTATTAAAATTGTTCCCGTAAAATTCTTCCGGTCGACTTTGAGGTGGGAATTGAGGATAACGCCATGAGGAAGCGGTGGATAGCATGGGGTGGAAGTTTGTGGACATCATGGGGACTCGAGTGGAAGAAATAGGGAAAAAGGGAGAGAAAGAGTTTGATTGGAGAGACATTCCGGGGAATGATTGGGTTTTTAAACTGTCAGGCATCATTCGGATCACCACGCGGCTTGGAGCTCGGGATGGCATTGGGTTGTCCAGGTAAACTTCGTCGTTGATTCCCGGGACGTGGATCGGGCCGAGCATTGATAACTTGGGCTTTTTTGGAGGGCTTATCATCCGGGAGATCCAGTTGGCGAGGAAGTCGAAGGGGCCATCATCTTCGACTTCTTTTATTACTGGTTTTAGGAGCAAGGCGCGGGGGTTTCGCTGAACGTTGTTGCTGGAAAATTTTAATGTTTTTTAGTTTTTTTGGTAATGTTAATTTTTATTAATTAAGACAATATTAATTTTAATTTATCAATTTAATATTAATTTTGATAAATTAGTTTAATATCAATTAAAATTTATTTTAATTATTATTATTTAAGAAATTTGGTGGCAATAATTGAAATTTTTCAAGTATTGTTAAAAGTAAATATAAAATAATGTTTAAAATATTATTTTAATATTCTCTAAAAATCATCTAAATACATTAAATTAATTATTAATTAATAATAATTATTATTACAGTTTAATTATTAATAATTAAACAGGAAGTATTATAATTTGATAGTTTTTTAATTTTTTAAATATAAAGAAATAATAAGTATAAAAAATGTTAATTTAATAATATTAATTATAATTATTATTAATAATTAAACAGCAAGCATTATAATTAGAAAGTTTAAAAATTTTTCAAATATAAAAAAATTTAATTTAATAATATTAATGATTAAAATAATTAATAATTAAACAGGGGTATTATAATTTGACATTTTAAAAATTTTACAAGTATAAAAAAAAGTTTAATAATTATAAAAAATTTTAATTTTAAAATATTAATAATAATAATAACAATAATCCTGATTACAAATATTGATAAAAAAAAAAATTATCTATACAAATAAAAAAATTAAAATTATTAAAAAGATTCAAATTTTATCATTTTTTATTTTTTTCAATCAATATTTTTAAACAGGAAATAATAATAATAATAATATTTTATAAATATTATTAAGATCAGTGATTTTAATTATTAAAGAGGATTTATTAAAAAATAATAAATCATCTTTAATAAATAATAATAATAATAATAATAAATTGTTTACCCAGTTGGTATTTCACCCTCAGCAGTAGTAACAGAAAGAAAAATTGAACCAACCTAAAGAAGAAATATTAATATAAAAATAATTCATAAAAACAATAAAAAAAATTTATTTATACATATATAAAAACAAAAAAAAAATATAAATAATAATTTACACAAAAATAAAATAGCAGAATCATTTCAGAGAGCACTTTGATAGATATCACTTGTATATTGGTATCACAAAGAAGAAATGAAATAAAAAGCACCCACAAGGTATTTAATATCCAGTAATGAAGATAATAATAATAATATAAATATTAATATCCGAACACTCTATAGTTATTAATCACGTTCTAATAATCAATTTGATTAAGTCTGATCAGTGAAACGATATCCACTCACCGTTATCAGACATATAATTCTCATGGTATCACATGGACTCCAGGTATAAAGATTAAGTACTAAATCACTTGTAGTACTTGCACACACTAAAAACAAGTCGCACTAGCTCTACAAAGCCTCGATGTACTGAGTACCGAGTAACGAGTAACGACTGTCGGGTAACATCATGTCCTCAAGTCTTTTAAAGGCTCTCCTCATTTACCCGTAAACTTGTCTTGTGTGTGTAAATACAAGGTATAAGTATATGTAGTACACTTATCACTTGTACTATATTTATATACCTTCCACCTGGTATCATGCATTTTCTCATTCTAATACATTTATGGTAATATCCCTACTATTCATATGCCTACTCTACGAATCACCAATCAGACTCTATCGAAGTTTCAAATTTTTTTTTATAATTGTTTTAGATGATCCAGTGATCCTGAAGAGCGAGTTGACGTTTATGATTAATAAATTATGTTTGATGATATTGTTTTCCGCATTTATATTCTTCACATGTTGGTGAATGATTTTATAGGCCAACTGATCGCGGTTTGGATTTTTCTTTTATTTGAGTAATTTTTAATACGTCTCGCTACAGAAAATCTGTGGCATCTTCGCTATCTTAAAAGGTATATGTAATATTAATTACAGTATGGGCAGCATAAATTAAAATTTACGAGAAGAAAAAATCAATAAAAAAATTCTGTTTCTTGCTTCAAAATTTTTATTATTTCAATTATTTTAAAAAATACTAGACTTAAGGATTATTTTTATAAAATTTATTAACTTAGTTGAAAATTAATTAACAATAAAATGAAGAAAGGTTTTGTTTCATCTATGCAAAAATTTTATTGTTTTAAAAAAAGATATAAATTAGCCTAAAAAATCACTCAATTTTATTTATTATTAGAGGTAATTAATTTTGATAAAATTTTATTAACTTATCAATTATAAATTAATTCATAATATAAAGAAAAAATTAAAAAAAAATTTTTTTTCATAATTAATGTAAAATTTTTATTGTTTTAAAGAAGATATTAATTATTGAGTAAAATATTAATAAAATTGTTGGAAGAAAATTTAATCATCTTATTTATTATTTTTGGTAGTTATTTTTGATAAAATTTTATTAATTTATAATTATAAATTAATTTACAATAAAATGAAAGAAAAATTCCTGTTTCATAATTAATACAAAATTTTTATTGTTTCAAAGAAGATATAAGGAATTAATAAAAAAAAAATTACTAAATTCTGTAATATCAAATTTTATTTATTATTTTAAGTAATTAATTTGATAAAATTTTATTAATTTATAATTATAAATTAATTTACAATGAAAAGAAGTAAAATTAACAAAAAATCTCTGACAAATTTAATTTATTATTTTAAGTAATTAATTTTTAGAAAATTTGATTATTTTATAATTATAAATAAATTAACAATTAAGTGAAAAAGAATTTAATGAAAATTTTGCGTTTTATAATTAATGCAAAATTTTAATGGTTTTAAAGAAGAAATAAATGATTAAAAAAAAATTACTATATTTTAGAAAATAAAATTTTATTATTATTTTAAGTAATTAATTTTGATAAAATATTTTTTTAACTTATCTTAATTATGAATTAATTTTAAATAAAAAAAAGAAAAAATTGTTCTTTTATAATTAATTCAAAATTTTAATTGTTTTTAAGAAGAAATAAATTATTTTAAAAAAAATTACTAAATTTACCCTATAAAACTTTATTATGTTAAGTAATTAATTTTGATAAAATATTTTAATTATGAATTAATTTTAAATAAAAAGAAGAAAAAATTGTTCTTTTATAATTAATTAAAAAATTCTAATTGTTTTAAAGAAGATATAATAAATTATTAAATTATGCAATGTCAAATATAATTATTATTTTAAGATAAATTAATATAAAAATTTCGTTTCAAAATTAATGTAAAATTTTGATTGTTTTAAAGAAGAAATAAATAATTTAAAAAAATTACTAAATTTTAGGATATTAATTGCTAAAATTTAATAATGATCTTACTTGTAATTTACAGTACTTAATTCCGATAAAATTTGATTACCGTATCACAAGTTATAAATTAGTTAAAGACAAGTGTTGATTTTATTCATAAGTAAATTTTTAAACTAATTACCAGACTGGATTTATACATAAATTAGTGACATAAATACAGACAAGGCGCGCATTGAATATTAATAAAGAGGACAAATTATAACTATTAAAAAAAATAACAAATATTTTTACCCAGAAATAGAAAAGGAAATTTAAGTTATGCATTACACATAGAATATATTAAATATGGTGCAAAGTATAGATAAGCTTAATCGAGAAAATTTGCTAACCGGGAGTAGAATGTAAATTGCAGATGTGCGTGAGAGTAAATTAGTCCGCTTCTTGACACATATAATTAAATGATAGAACGCTTATAGATTTGGATTTCTCCGCGGAAAAGAATTTTTATATTTCCGACATTAAAATAAAATGTTTAAGACTTGATAGCTTAATACACCTATTAGTATCTATATCCGTCATCTTAAACTATTTAAGTTATTCAAAAGTATTTAATTGCTTTTGTTAGTATGTACATGTAATTAAAAAAAAGGTTAATTCTAAATGTTAAAATATATAAATAAAAATAAAAACGAAGAAAGTAGCCAGCTTAAAGAATTTTCTTGGAGTTGACTCACGAAGCCAGTTGTAATAAAGATAAATTATTGGAAATTTAAGCTGGTCAAGTGCATTAAAGTTTAAGAATAAGAAAAACCGGTGTCCTTGAATGGTTTTAATTACTAATTCATCTTGATTTAGTTAGCAAGTTAAGTTTATTTATAGAAAGCAGTGTCGAAGTATCAATCAAGGAATGCACGCGAGTTTCTATAATTACAACTTTTTCGTATGTACATACGCTACTGTAAAAACTTATTGCTCTGTCCTTATTTGCTTCAAATAATAATAAATTAATAAAATAAATAAATTACATGTTTACTGTAATTTATATAAAAAATATACTTTATAAAATTGCAAGAATAAGGGAAATTTTCTTTCTAAATTATTTATATGATAATTGTACTTTCTTAACAATTGACGTTTTTAAAGATATAAGCTCATTCTGATGTTACATTTATCAAGAGCTTTCATTTGAGTACCCACATGCATTTTTAATATATTTTTCATATATTTATATATATATATATATATANNACTGTACTTTCTTAATTATTGACATTTTTAAAGATATAAGCTCATTCTGATGTTACGTTCATCAAGAGCTTTCATTTGAGTACCCACATGCATTTTTGATATATTTTTCATAAATACATATATGTAATATATATGAATATATGAAAAATTGATGTGGGTACTCAAATGAAAGCTCTTGATAAGTGTAATATCGGGATGAGCTTATATCTTTAAAAATGTCAATAGTTAATAAGATATTTGTTATAATTGTACTGTACTTTCTTAATTATTGACATTTTTAAAGATATAAGCTCATCTTAATGTTACACTCATCGAGAGCTTTCATTTGAGTACCCATATGCATTTTTGATATATTTTTCATAAATACATATATGTAATATATATGAATATATGAAAAATTGATGTGGGTACTCAAATGAAAGGTCTCGATTAGAGTAACATCAGGATGAGCTTATATCTTTAAAAATGTCAATAGTTCACAAGATACATGGTCATTTCTTAATTATTGATATTTTTAGAAATCGATAAGGGCAATTTTTTTATAAATAATTTTTCAAACCTCGATTTTTCACGAAAAATCAAAAGATTATAAATTTTATTGAGATATATTATTACGCTATACATGTAAATCTAAAACTAAATTAAATTTATTTTCCAATAGAAATTTAGAAACCGCATAAAAATGAATATTTATACTAATCCCAATAAAATAATAACCAACCGCTTAAAAAAAAAAATTAAAAAAAGTAGAGTTTAAAACCACAGGACGGTTTTGCTGAGTTGGATGAAAACAGGAATCGATCAAGATAGATGTTTAGGTCTCGATTAATGATACGTTTATAAATTCAACATGAAAACTACTTATATATCTATAGTAGTCTTCTCTTCTGAGATAGGCTAGTTAATGGTGAAGTTGAGAACGCCCATGCTGTTTGATTATATGGAACAAACAAAAAAATAAACGTGAATTACTACAAGCTTGCGTATATCTTACTGCTGTTATTATTCTTGATATGACTCTGTTAGATTTTCCAACGTGATTAATCTTTCTCGGAGGCATCCATCCGGCAAAATGTTTCTAACCTTGTAGTTAACTCTATTTGTCATTATGAGTAATGGTTTTTAGTCGTAATTAAATCGTCGCTTGCCGTCAAAGCGAAACCCATAAGCTGCGCTGTTTGGAGCATTGACAAGCGCCGGGTGACGATATGCGTGAAAAGATCCGTGTAAGTGAGCCGGTCGAGCCGCGTTTTCTTCTTCACTTTGCGGGCCTTTTAGATAAAAAGCTTCGAATTCGCCATCCGGTAGGAGAATTGTTTTTAGATCTTTGTCATTTGGATCGTATGCATCGATGAGTCCGATGATAAACAGAAGAAGAATGATAAACTGTAAAAATTATGTTTTTATTTAGAAAATTGCTGTAGGTTTTTTTGCAGTGAGAAAAAAAATTATGTCTAAATAAAGATTTCTTCACTCTAGAATTTTTTAAATTGAACAATTTAGTATATTAATTTTTTTTAGATTTTTAATAATAAAGATTTTACTAGAAAAATTTAATAATAATATTCCACATAAGAAGATTTATAAGACATTTTTTTATGAAAATTATAATCTATATTATTGAGAGAATAAGAAAAATTTTGTGTCCAGGATAATCATATGATAAAATCTGTTTTTTATTCTCTATCTCTAGATACATAATTAAGAAATGAACTTGTATTTTGTGAACTATTGACATTTTTAAAGATATAAGCTCATCCCGATGTTATACTTATCGAGACCTTTCATTTGAGTATCCACATCACTTTTTCATATATTTATATGTTTTATATATATGTATATATGAAAAATATATGAAAATGCATGTGGGTACTCAAATGAAAGGTCTCGATGAGTGGAACATACAGATGAGTTTATATCTTTAAAAACGTCGATATTTAAGAAAGTACAGTGCAATTTAACAAATATCTAGTGAACTATTGACATTTTTAAAGATATAAGCTCACTACGACATTACTCTCATCGAGACCTTTCATTTGAGTACCCAGATCAATTTTTCATATATTTATGTATTTATATATATGTATATATGA